ATTAGTAGGAAAAAATTTCTACGCTATTTTAATCAATTCTTTCATTTCATGTTGCAAAAGATACCGACACTAACTTTGAAATATTTTTCAAATTTATTTTAGGTCTTTCAGTTTCTTCCTTCAGCGAATACTTTTTGTTCTTAGAAAAATAATTTTTCTTATTTTTGCAAAAAAGAATTTTGATAATTAAATATTTCAAAGAATTCGATAGAAGTAAACTGAAAAACCTTTCATTCGATTTTATAGTAAATGAAATTAGAATAATTTCATAAATTCAATCAATTTCGCTAAACTCTACTTTTTGTTTTTTGCAGCACTAAACCTTAATTTTAGGAAATTTTTTGGAAGAAAAGCAAAAATTAACACAATGAAATGAAATATAATTTATGTGATAAAAATTTTGACAATTTAATTTTATAAAGTTTAATATTTTTCTAATTGCTAATTTCACTTTTCTTTGTATTATAATAAAATCTGTGAAGAAAGAATCGTTTCTATTAATAAGCGATCAAGTTTGATCAAATCTTTTATACGGTGTAAGTAACGTACGCTATCATGCAAAATTTACCCTGCAAGTGGTAATCCTTTTCATTTATGTTTTGTACTGTGATATTTTACCGTTATCCTAAAATTGATAGTGATGGAAAAAATTTTATCTTCACAATCTTTTTTCCCAAATATCCCCTCGGGCCAGAAATTTCTATAAAAAAAATTGTGCTAATTATTAGAAATTTTCCGTCGTCGTTGTAAAAATCTTCCTAAACATATAATTGCAGTATGGCATTTTTTTATGCTTAGTAAATTATGATAAATAAATAAATTATCAGTTTATATTTAAGGAGGATAGATTTTTCTCTTTCACGTGCACTTCTGCGGAATTTACGCATACTATAATTTAACTTTGATATTACGTTTGTAATTTACATACGCAAATATAGATATCTAACATTCGAATAATTTACAGGTATCATAACATACGAGTTCTTTTTTATATTAATCAAAAATGATAATTTATTTTAAATATTTACCCAAATCCTTATTATCATTTTCCACTAATTTTATTAATCATACCTAATTTAAATGATAATTTATTCCAAACATATATCCAAATTCTTATCATTTTCCAATAATTTTAATATTTTGATAAAATATATGATAATGCCAATTCCTCTGTTTTTTCATTTCTAATCATTTATTTATTTTGGAAGGAATTGAAATTTTAATTAAGAAGAAAATGAATTGCTATAAAATTAAAATAAGCAAATGAATTAAAACTAATTTACATTTATAATGATAAATTTGATCATTTACTGCATTGATTGAATGAGTAATCAAACAACATTTGTCAACAATTATTATCACAAATTATAAAGTTGTGAGATGAAATGAATTTTGATCTTTTTAATGGACTTATATTCAATTCAGATGCATTAAATTGCACTTCAAAATAGGATAAAATGAAGTAATAAAAATGCAGCATTTATTAAATTGCATATAAATATATAAGTGTTAAAGAATGTTTATAAAAGCATCTTTCCTTCATTTTACAACATTTTTTCTTCCTATCGTAACATTTCAAATAATTTCCTTTTCATTGGTAATTTATTATTTGTAAGATAATCATTTGGAATAATTTATTAATTATATGATAATCATTTGAAATAATTTATTATTTATATCACAATTAGTATTTTAGTAAAAATTTATACATCCATTTTATAATTTAGAAAAACAAAAAGAAATTAGTTTAAAAATTGAATGATAAAAGAAAAATCATAGTAATGTTGGAAATTCGTCATAGAAATAAATTTTTAGTTGAATTTTCTTCTTCTACCAATGTTTTTCAATACATTATCGATATTTCTAAATTTTCATTCTTTTGTTTTTTATTTTATTTTCTTTCTGAATGCTTCTATTCCAATTATCTCTAATTAATTTAATTAAATAAATTAAAAAGACGAAGTTTTTCAACGATTCAAATTTCAATTTAATTTTAAATTCAATTCAATTAATATAATAAATGAATTTCTTTCAGTTTTCATTTGTCCTATGATAGTTATTTAAAAAGAAAACCTACAAAATGATATATTTATATAAATTGAATTTCAAAAAAGTTTTCGTTGTATTATTCACTTAGTTTGAATTTGGTGGTAGTTTCATTTCTTTCAAAAATAATTCATTTTTCATTCTTCCATTTTCTATTCATTTTTTCCTCACTAATTTTCACCTTTTTTTCCTCACTAATTAATTTTCAATTTGAAAATTAGATATGACAACTAATTACAACAAAAATTTTCGTCTTAAATGGCAATGATTTTTCAACATAATACAATATTATATGACGTAGAAATTTCGAATCATAGATTTTATATGATTTTTGATTTTGTTTTGAAATTTATGATTTCATGGCACTTTTGACATTTTTTACTGAAATTAGGTACAAATATGATTTCATGATGAATTCGACCTATTATATCGAGAGAAAGCATTTATGATGATATTGGTAATTATAATTAGAAATGCTATCATTGATAATTGTCAATATGCTTTATGATAAGTCAGATTCATTATGAAATTACAAATTTCGGAAAATTTCAAAAGAAAAATAAATATATAAATGCTTTTCACATTTTACGACATTTTTTAATAAATGCATTAGTTATTTTTTAATACTATGTTTTTAAAGTTAAAAAGGTACTGAAATGTTAGCAAAAATTTTTTCTGTGCTTATTATCAACAAATGATAAGCAAACAAAAGATATTATCAAAAGTTTATTTTATTAAATTATATTCAAATATTATTATTTCAATTTAAATGTTGAACTTTATGATAATTTTTGTTTAATTATTCTACTTATTCTTGCTATTATTATGAATTATTATAACTTGATGGTAATTTTTGCTTAATTATTTTACTTATTCCGTTATTTAATTTAATTTATCAATAATTTTGAATAGATCATTTCATAATTATAATGATTGATATACGTGCAACTTAATCGTCTTCTTAAATTTCAACATAAAGAATCGAAATTTAGTTAGTATTATTTATCATCTCTATCAATGTTCATAATATCGTTGGTATAAAAATGTATTCGCATTATTGTTGATTAATAAACATTAAAGATCATTATGTAGAGAAATCGTTGAAATGTTTAAAAAAACAACTATTACAAATTACCAGTTTTATTGTAATTAGATTAATTGCTGCAAAAAATAAGGGAGCTTATTTAAATTTTATTTTTTTGCAGCTTCATTAAATTATACTAAATTAAATTAACATTCTATTGCATTACTTCAGATTGTCTTATTGTTGCAGCAAATAAAAAGCAACAACAATTACAACAATATGTGACGTAAATTTGATCAATCCAATCAATATTTGCAATGTTAATACAATATCTATTAATTAATATTCTACTCATCGTATTATATTTATTGATACAGGTAAATATTTTATTGTACTTGTAAGATTTGTTTGTTTATTTATTTGTTTTTGTTAAATTCAAACGTAGGAAGTAAAATGGAAGATATTTAAAAAAGAGACTATTAGGCGAATAAAATTTAAAATTTTAAATAAATAAAATTAGTCGAATGGAATATTTATTTACATAATCTATTATAATTGGAATTATTATTTATTATAAATGCAAAAATAATCGAAAGATAAAAATGTGACTGTAATTTTGTACCTTTTATTGTTTGCATTAAATTTCATATCGAAAATATGAATTTACTACTAAACTTCAAAAACTGGTAATTAATTAATTAATTAATATATATTTTGTAAAATTTTGAATTTTATATAATTTGATTTTTGATTAGTCGAAATTAAACGATACGCTTCAAATATTATTTCATTCTATTTATTATGATATAAACAAAATATCCATTATCCATAGAAAGAATGTTTATCATTAAATATTCCAAGAATTATGATAATCAATTATGATAAGTTATATTTTAATTATAATTTAGCATTTTGTGTTTTATTCAATAGTTTCCTCTTTTTTTTTGAAAATTCTATCCATTTCAAAAAATTAGAAAAGAAAGATTAAAATTATAATTTTTACTTCGATTACAATTTTTGCTAAATTTTTTGATAATTATAGGGAAAAATATTTATACGTATATAAATTTATTATTATTATAATTTATAATCAATGCTTAGTAATCAAAAATATTTTCATATAAATCAAATATTTGATATATATTTTCATAACATATAAAAACATATAATACATATATGTACGTTGTGTGGTACTCATTTTAATATTTATTTTTTTCCATTAATCATTTTGATTTTATTTTTGAAAAAAAGGAAATCAAAAAAATGGCAAGTTTGTTAAGCTAAGAAAAATTGCTTTTCAATGCTAACACAAAATGCTTTTTTGTTTACAATTAAATTTAAACCAAAAATTGAAAATGCAATCATTTCAATGTTTTGAAAAAGAAAGAAAGATATCAAAAAATAAATGGATGAATTTTCTTTTCGCAATCAAATTTGAAAATGTTTTTTAGGAAAGTGAAAAAAGACAAACAAATAAACAAATAAACAAACAAACAAACAAACAAATCAACAAACAAACAAACAAATAATATTATTTATAGAAATTTCATTTTTCGTTTTTTTAATTTTTTTCCATGAAAAATTTGCATAAATTTGAGAAAGAATTCATTTTGGATAAATTTTTATTTGAAAAAAGAAGGAATGTATTGAAAATAAAATAATTCAATTTGTTGTAAAGAAAAGTTTAACAATAAAATGTGGTAATAAACGGTTGGCCGATAAAGAAATAACAAATTGAAGAAAATAATAATTTCAAAAAAAGAAGAAAATTAAATAAATGTATTCATTTTGTTATAATGAAATGCTATTTATGGAAGAAACTCTTTTCTTCGTATATTTAAAATATTTTCAATGTTAATAAAAATATTTAATTTTTTCTACCAAATGAAATTTAATGATATTGGAATTTGAATAATTAATCAATTTATTAATGATATTGGAATTTGGACAAATAATCAAATTATTATTGATATTGGAATTTGAACAAAATTTTAATGATACTGTAATTTGAGTAAATAATCAATTTACTGATAATGTTGAAATTTGAATTAATTTTAATGATATTTTCATTTCAATAAATAATCAACTTACTAATGATATTGGAATTTGAATAAATTTACAAAATTATCAAATTTAATCAATAGTTTTTTATGAAAAGAATTACTTTCTTTTTGGATGTCTATAATTTTACGATAATAATATTTAAAAACTGAATAAAATATTGATTGATATATTTTTTCGATTGACATCTATTGAAGCTATCTTTTCTAAGTGATTAAATTTTAGGATTTATTTTTTTTCTTACTGTATTAATAAAAAGGAATATAAATTAAATATGATAAAAATTTTAAGCTAAATTATTCAATCAGTGATGAATCAAATTTGGAGAGAATACTAATACATCAAGGTTGGGCTAAATGGTCTGAATGGGGGCCATGTTCTAATTTGGTTCGTTCAATACTTTTCCATCTTTTATCTAATTTATTTTAAATATTTCCTTTTGAATTAAAATTGAAATTTCGGTTATCTTTTACAAAAGATATTTCAATATAATATTTTTTTAATTAATTAAGTTAATTGAAATTATATACATTTTTTTAATTTTCAATAAATACTAAAAAAAAATCTTTTTAGTGCGGTGATGGTATATCAAGTCAATTAAGACGTTGTTTAGACGTACGTTGCGTAGGACCAAATCGACGGGAACGTGTTTGTAATATGCACGTTTGTTAATTTCTTTTGTTTTTCTATTTATTATTTGCAAAAAAAAAGTTTGATGCTCAAAATATTAATTTTAATCTTTTTCAAATTTTATTTTCGCAAATATAAATTAGACTGGCCAATACTGAGTGATTAATTTAATATTTTGTTTGATACAAAATTACATTAATTAACCATAATTTAATTTCATTAAAATCATTGATAAAATTTGATCAGAATGAATTAATGTAAATTTAAAAGTTAAATAAAGAAACAAAGTGATTTATTAAATTTTATAAAATTCTATCAATGCTTAAAATTAACAATAATTTCAGCAATGTGATAATACTTCAATTCAAACAAAAGAAACAGACTGCTCAAAATTGGATAGTTTATCATCATCATCATATGATAATAATAATACTAAATTGATACCGGAACGATGGATTCCTGTAAAAAGTAGTCATCAGGTTAATTAGCATTCAAATATAACTTTAATATTATTACCATATATATATAGCTTTAATATTATTACCTGAAAATTTGCAAAAAAAACATGAGTAATTTTTTTACTCATAATTTTAACAAAATTAATCTTAGAAAGTTTCTGTTTTATATTAAAGTTTGATTTTATTTTCCAAAATGAAAAAGTTCATTTTTCTTTTATTAAAGTGTATTGTGGTGTGCCGTTCGTTAGAAACCGGTGAAGAACAGGAAATAGAAAAGGTGATCGATGGTACTGAATGTTTCATCGAAGGATATAATAAATCTGTTTGTGTGGATGGCATTTGTCAGGTTATACAGTTTATTTAATTACAGAAATTAATTTGTGAAGATTTGGAACTTTTTTAATTATTAAGTTTTTGCCGTTATTGAAGTGATTGATCTGATATCATTGAATAATTAATCTAAAACTTTATTCTTCTTCTCAATTAATTTCTTATTTTTAAAATTAAATTTTTTTATTTTAAAGTATATTGGTTGTGATGGTATTGTACAATCAAATGCTCGTTATGATCCATGTGGAATATGTGGCGGTACGGGTGAAAGTTGTGGACGTACAATATTTCAATGGAAGGATACGAAACAATTTTCACCTTGTGATGCTACTTGTGGACCAAATGGCAATTTGATTAATATTTTTGATTGAATTAAAATATATTTTTAATATTATTGAAACAACAATTTCGTGTATCATTTATTAGCTAACTATAACAAAATGTGGTAAAATAATTTTTTTTTTTATTGCTAAATTTATAATGTTCTTAAATTTATTTTTAACTTAATTGAACAATATTTTAAGTTTTATTTCAGGTTTCATAAAATATAATGATATTGCATATGAAAACTGTTAATCGCTTAATATCTTAATGCGCAAACATTTTCAGCTCATCGTGTATCAGTATCAATATGTCAAAATGTACGAAATGGAAGAGTGGTACCAGAACGACTTTGTGCTGATCAACCGCGACCACGTCCAGTTGTTGAAAAATGTCCACATATCATTTGTCCATCACAGTATGTTTTTTAATTGTATTCATTTAAATTTTGTTGAGAATTTAAAATTGAATGAATTCTAAAATTTAAACTTTTTCTTTTTGCTTATATTAAATGGATTATTTCATTTTAACCATTTATATCTTCTCAACCTTTGCCTCTTAACCTTTTATTTATTAATCAAAAATTTGACCCATCAATTTATCGACTTCTCTTTTTTCTCATCCATTCTCTTCTCTTTCATTTTACTGATCTTTTCAGTGTTTCTGTAATCTTAAACTAAAAGTTATCAGTAATTTTGCTTCCTAATCAAATTCATTAGTGAAAATTGAAGCAATTAATTATTTGCTTATCATTACAATGATTATAAATGTAATCTATCGCTTAACAACAAAGGAGGCAAAATTATCAATCAAAAAAGGAAGATAAATTAATAATTAATCAATGATGAAATATCAATTACATATATATAAACCATTTTGCTCCATTGTACAGTTGAGCGAAATTCTGAAAATTGGAAATTTTATGAGTGTTTGAAATTGATTTACAACATTGGAAACGCTAACGAATGATTTATGGCCTCATTACTGAAATGACCTTGGCCTTGCAATTATGCAAATGAGATCAATATTTCGTAGTTGGTCATTTTCCTTCTTATGCTTATTACCACCTTCTTCGCCTTATCTTTTTCTTTAACTTGATAGATGAATATAATAACAGTAACATGTAGATACGGATAAATAGACATATATATATGTCGTCTTTCCGGATGAAAATTTTTTATCACAAATATTTTTTCCGTAATCATTTTCCTCTTATCCATTCTTTTATTACGAAAATCTTTCAACCAAAAATTATTGCTCTCAACCTATTAGCATACGGTTCATTTGTTGGACAACATTCCGGTCTCTTTCGTTTTTAAAAGGAATGAGAAGGCCATTTTTATCGTAAATTACTATTTTCGTTATGGGAAACAAACTACAGCAGGCAATATTAACCGGAAATTAACGTGAGAAAAAGTATGTAATGCAGCAAGCTAGAAACAAATCCGAAAATTCGAATCCGGAACCTAAAAAAAACAACCTCATAATAGCAATACTAAAAAGCAATCGATGAAATACAATTAATAAATACATTTTTCAACGATTCCGATTGAAAGAAAATCCATTCAAAAGAATTCTCTTTACTATCCTAAATTTCTCTTCTTTGAAAAAAATATTTATAATTTCAATGCATTCCTAAAAAAGTACGAATTTCGACGAAAATTCATTTTACAATTTTTTTTGGACTATTTTTAGCTTAATTAATTAATTAATTTAAATGAAATGACTTCATCGTTTACAGTAATAGATAAATCTGACACTATACCGGATAGTTCATATAATTTTATTTCCAGTTTTCAAGATATCCGGATTTTTCATACATAAATAATATTCATTTTTTGCCTGTTACTCCTTCAATATCACTACAAAATTTCCATTAACTAATTATCCTTCCATTAAAAATTTGATGAAATTTAAAATAATTTTTTCTCAAATTATGCATAGAGTATAATTGAAAGAAAAACAGAAATTAAAATTTAGTATTACTGTTAGGTAAACAACATAACATACATATACATATAAGTGAATTTAGAAGAACATTTTAAAGCATAATATAAAGTTTCTTCTTTTCTAATCTCATTTATTATATGCTGACTAATCAATAAGGTAATTTTTAATATCAATTATTATATGCTAACTAATCAACGAATTAGCTAATTTTTAATACTGAATGATAATTGATTGATTAATCAATCATGAACCTGAAATTTACGTCCAGTGATTGGAGAAAAAAATACATAATTGCATATTGAAATATGAGAGAAGCACAAAAATGGATAATTGAAAATGTAGCAGTTATCAGAAATTATTGATCTATTCAAGTTTTATTATTATTACTGTCAATGATACATGAATAAATGTAAATGATAATAAGAGAAATTAAATAAGATATTAGAAAATGAAGAATTCATTTTTTCCGCTTCTTTTCTTTTCCAATGAAGTGATAATTATTTCATATAAATTCTTATAAAAAATGGATTTCAGATTTTTCACGTAACACTTTTCAAAAAACAGGAAATTTGATATAATTTATAATTTTTAAATAAAAATAAATTTCCTTTTTAACAACTACGGCAAATTTTTGCGGTCATTTGGCAACATTTTTTGTTTTTTACTAAAAAAATTTTTGACTTTTAAAGTGATATTAATGAAATTTGTAATAATTCATTGTGATATTCACATTTGAATGAATTTCAAAGTTAGAAAATGAAATGAATAATTTATTAAAATTAAAAAAATTAAAACTAAAGAATTTACATAGCAATAGCGTAATGAATTATTATTATTAATATTATCATTATTAATATTATTATTATTATTATTATTCAAATAAAGCTGCAACATTTTCTCGCAAGAAAAAATTGTTGGCTTTTCATCGATGGGTTGTAAAAATTCCATTATCCATTTCAAAAATGCTCTCAATAAATTTTTTGAAATTTTATAAAATTCATATTATTTTGAAATGTAAAATAAAATTTAATAGAGTTCAAATATTAACATTTGTCAATACAATAAGCCATAATTGATTTAATTCATTAAATTAAATGAATAAGACTTAGATGAAAAAGAAATATATTCATTAAGCTTTTTTCAAATGGAAGAAACAATCTTTTTAAACTGTTTAAATTAAGTGTTCATTCAATCCATGAATTAAAAATGATAATATTTAAAAATATAATTTCATTCATTAATTATTAGACTATAACGATGTATTCCTAAAATGTGAGAGCAAAAAGAAATAAATAAAAGGAACGAAAAAAAAGTGAACTGAAATAATTCCTACTTATTCTTTCATTTATTCCTAACAATAAATTTTTGGTCTTACAACGAAAATTGAAATGGATTTATTTTCTTCTCCTAAAAAATTAAAAGGAAGAAGAAGAAAAAAAGGATGGAAAAACTTTTCAATTTTATTTTTAATTTAATTCAAATTTTAAATTTATGATTTTTTTCAGTACCGTAATTTCTTTCTACATTTATTATCCATTAGAATATTTCAATTTCTAATAGATATATGTAAGGCAAATTGAAAATTGATTTATTTTTCAATTCTAATTGTTTAATATTACAACGAATAACAAATTGCTTCCCATTTTTTTTAACTATTAAAAAATTCATTTTATTATTAGATTTCATCTCTTATAATTTAAATTTTTATTTCATATTATAATCTAAAAGATTTTCTAACAAAAAACAAAAAAGGAAAAAATTAAATTTTCTTTTTCCACTCATTTCTTTACCGTTTACATTTACGATAATTACAGGTAACACTGTAATTTTTTTGTTAAAATTTAACTTAATTATTGGTTCCGAAAAGGATGCTATCTTTCTTCAATTTAAATTTATGCATTTCTTTTTATCTCTCTCTCTCTCTTTCAAACAATCTGCCAATACTAGTATTTAACAAATTTTTTCTTTCAAAAAAATTAACATTCATTGCATTCTTCCATTTTCATATCTTTCATAACGATATATATATATGTTTGTTCAGATAAATATTTTATTTTGTTTTATATCATTAAATTTTAATAAATGCAAATTTTAATTGGGAAAAAAATTTATTCATTTTTTTCTGAAATTAATTTCGTTTATAAAATAATAAAATTGGTCATTTTGCTAGACTGTTGTATCATTTATATTTGTATAGTATAATAATGATAATAGTAGTTGTGATAATAATTAATTAATAATAATAATGAAATTTTAATAAATTTTTAACTTTTATTTCACTGATATATTAATCACTGAAAGTGATGAAAATCATGGTATCATCGTAACAAAAGTCACGGTATCATCGTGGTAAAAGTCATGGTGTCATCGTGATAAAAATCATGATATCATCGTCATTTTGTTAATTTATTAAAAAGATTAGGAAATGATTATTAATTATTGAAGAAATAATCTCTTCTTCATTATCCATTTCATTCCATTCCATTTATTCATATCAAACAAATTTCACTTTTCATCTTTTTATTTTTAAAAAATGCAAATTTTGCAAATTATCATGATTGTTCTTTGAATTAGCTAATTTTTACTCTTTCATAATATTATCATAATATTATGATTTTTTTCGTAATTATATATTTGACTTATGAAAAATATCTTTCGCTATAAAAATGATAAATAAATCAAACCAACCATCTAATATTACTCTTTCTATTTTTTTAAAATTAATATTTCATTTCTTTACTATTAGCTATATAAATCATTCATTACAACGATTTATTTGTCTGATAATATCATATCCCTAAAATGATAAATGATAAATCATTTTAAAATGATAAATCATTTTAGTGTAATTTTATTTTATTTTATATTTTATTATTTATTAGTTTATCGCAAGAATTTTGCTTTTAGAAATATTGAATTATTGATTTCGTTCTTTCTTCGTATTTTTTCATAACTATATAATTTGCAATAAAACAGTTCAAAATCTTTCATTATCATAAAGATAAAAAAATTGGAGAAAGATAAAGGAAAAAAGTGAGAAAGAGAAAGACAAAAAGAGAAATTCTGTACTTGATGTTATCAATCATTATTACTATTATCAATGAAATTATTACTAATTACAACTGCAATTACTGTTTCGCTCTTCAGACCATCGATTACCGTATCATATCAGTAAGTTAACACTGATAAAAAAAAATTATTCAATGTTAATTTGAAACATAGTTGTAATTGTTTTTCGGTAATGTAGCTGTCTGCACCTATTATGACGGCAGATATACACCCGCACACACATATACATATATATTTATATATATACAATCATTTTATAGCAAATATCTCAAACACACACACACACCAATTTCCTTTTTGCTTTTGCGAACTATGCATAGCGATTTATCTTTTATCATAATGCGACAATTGCGCCATAGCAAATTTTGATATTTTTAATTAATATAATCATAAATTTGGCTAAATTGTTAATAATAATATTTAGAAAAAAAATCTATATATAGTTTTTTATTAATAGATTATGAAAAAATTAAAATTTTGTTCTTTAAATTTCATGCAATGAACAAACAGGATATTTTTCATATGAGCGCAAATGTAGCATAAAGAATATCCTAGTATTATTATTATTATTGATAATACTATGAAATTTTCAGCTGCAGGTTATTGCAAATCGAATTTTCTGCATGCATTTGTATGTCAGGGAGAGAGAGGGAGAGAGAAAAAAAGCGAAGGGTATAAAAAATTTCTTAGATTACGGTGTGTGCCAATTTGCTGGCAATGCGGTGATTCATTTGCATTTTAGATCAGAAAAATTATTTTTAATTTTTTCTTTTTTAATTAACAAAAAAAAAAAGCATATATTAATTTCAATTTTTCAATGATATTAGTTTACATAATTCCATGCCAAAAATTTTCCACATTAAAGTTTTCCCTTTGTTTTTGTCCCTTCCCCATCTCTAAATCTTACTTATTTAATTATTCTTTTAATTAACTTTGCTTGATGCTTTTGTTATTTATATTGCCACCTATTTTATCATCTGTCATATTCATTTTTTTCTTAATTAATATGCGTGTAATAATAATTAAGTTTTAATTAGCATGATTTTCTTCTTTTGTTTGTTTGCTTCATAGCCTTTGCTTTTTCGCTCATTTCAAAAAAATTTCTTAAATACAAAATTAGAATAATTAATGTTAAAGAAAGTAGAATTAATACAAAAGAAAAGTAAACAAGGAAAGGTAATAATTTTTTGGAAATAGAATTAGTTCATATTAAATTGATATAATTTCGATAATTATCAATTATAACAAGCTAAAAATTTATTCGCTTATTTGATCATAAAGTAATGTGATAGTAATTAACAGTGATACAATGATATCAATATGATTGATACTATCAATAGTTTTAATTGATAACGTCGAATTTTGATGTAATATTTCAGGTGATATGTCACTTTATGCGATAGTAAAGTTTAACAGAAAACTTACTTTACTTACTTACTTAAATAAATTAATTTATAATATTATAATCTTTTCTGTTTGCATGCAAAAAAGTTTTCCTTTTCTTAGGTGTTAATACTATTACAAAAAAAAAGATATTGGAAATGAAATACAGGAAATGAATTAAATAATAAATAAATTTATTTTTGCTACAAAAAAATTAATAATAGAAAAAATCTTTTGCTTTTTGGTATAACTATCTTTTGCAAATTCAAAATATTTCCAAAATACTTTTTGCGAATAGCTTCCAACCGTGTGTTTTATATTTCCGAAGAAACAAATATAATCTAAGAAAAGGTATTTAATTAATGAAAAAAAAAATATTTATATGATAGCCTAAAATTAAGAATATATAAAGAAATAGTTGTAGTAATCGGAAAATGGTACTAAATTGGAAAATGTTTAATTTAATATTCTATTGTTATAAAATATTTAAATTTAGGTTCAGTTGATAAACTTCACATCGTTTGTTTACTTAATATTAAATTGAATTGAATTGGATTACAGAAAAAGAGAATAGATTTGTTGGATTAAATTTTTGCCAAATAAAATTAGTAATTTTGATATACTCTTATTCTTTTATATTATATAGTAAAACATATTTAGCAAATATTTAATCATTTCCTTTTATGATAATTGATATGATTTTTTTGAAACAATAAGTAATGCAAGAAATCAATAATTTATATTTAAACATTACATACCTTTTCTATTAGCCTATATTATATCCTTCGGAAATACAATACTTTGTGTGCTGATATGTGTTAATGCGTGCTGATATATGTTTTAGTGTGTGCTGATATGTGTTAACGCTTTTTTAAAGTAATAGCAGAATTTGCTTCAGCAGGTAATATGTACTAATTAAGCATAAACAAAAACTGTTTCTTGAAAGAATTGTTTTTTGCTGATTATTTTTTTTTAATTAATTAAAACAGAAAAAAAGGAAAAATTTAATTTCTTTTTTTGATTTGAATTTCAAAAATTTATTTTTAAATAACAAATTATATTAGCAATTTGAAATTATAAAAGCATAAAATTCTTAATTATCGTACATATTACTTTTTACATATTTCTTTTGTAATTAGTAATTTTAATCCTTTCTTTTTACTTTAATTTTTTAATGTGAAAAATTTTCCGAAGTATTTTTCTACTTTAGATGGATGATTGGAAAATGGTCGGAATGTACGGTATCATGTGGTGGTGGATATCAAACAAGAACGTTATATTGTGTTGAAAGTTTCAACGATACAAACGGTAACGTTGTGGAAAATCGGAAAGTTGACGAACAATATTGCTGGCAAACTCATCGACCGGTATGACTTATAAAATCGAAGTTTAACTTAAGCTTACGTTTTAACATGTCATGATTATGTTTCATCACCCTTTCCCTAACTATTAATATATTGAAATGTTAACTTTATACTAAAATAGCTAAACTGAAATCTATCTTTTGCAGAATAGTCTAACCGGAAAACTTGACCGAAATCAATAATTTCTATCTCTTGCTTTAGAATTCTTTCATTTACTTTTTTTTCAGGCAACAAGCAGAAAATGTGGTAGGAAAAGTTGTCCAAAATGGGAGAAAGGTGACTGGACTTCGTGTTCCGTTACATGTGGTGAAGGTTTCCGCATAAGACAGGTGACAAATTTAATAATCAAATTAAGAAATTATTATTCAATAATTTTGCAATTGAATGAATTGAAATTGAAGCATAGGATATTTGAAATCATAGATAAAATAAAACCAATACTCAATATGATTATTAAGTATTAAAAGAAATGAGGAGGGAAAGAGAATGCAATAAATTCATTAAATAGTATTTATAAAAATGAGTAATTATATTATTTGATAATTGATTATACAAAGAATTAATAAATTCAAATACAAAAATTATGCTTATTTCTTTTATCATCTCAGGTGGAATGTCAACAAGAAGGTGAGCGAATCGATGATTACGCATGCAAAAATAGTGATCGACCCGATGATGAACAACCGTGTTATACGGGTGTCACTTGCAAAACTAAATTTCACAATTGTTAGTTTCTGTTTTTCTTGAAAGTTGATAAATTTTAAATATAGCAAAAGCTGGCTTAATAGTAATTTGGTAGCATAAATTAAACTCAAATTAGCGCTAGTATTTTTATTTAAAAATTAATTGAGCAATTTTTTTATAATACTAATAGTAATTATTTTAATACTTATGATATTCATTTAATTTATGAATATTTAATTGGAATTTCAGGTGAATTGATATAATGGTTTAGGAATAAATTTTATTTGTTTTAATATTTACTCATCGAATATATTAATATTCTTTTTTTGCATTATCAATTAAATGAATATCAAAAGTATTAAAATAGTATGCACAACAAATATAACTTCAAGCAGAGAAAATCATTGTTTAAAATAGAAAAGCGAAAATTAGGCTCATATAATATATTTATAGTAATAGCAATGATATTAATAATAATGATAATAATCAATAAATAATAATGGTGGCGACGACAATAACAATAGCAATAATACTATATTTAATAACAATAATAATAGTATGAGTTATTTTATGCAATAATATTCATATTTATCTTATTATGAAAATAATTTTTGTAAAATAATTCAAATTCAAATAAACTATTATTATTAATATTAGTATTGCTAACAATAAGACAATGCAATCATCTAATTAAATTTATCATTTGTGATAAATTTAATTAGATGCATAAATTTATAATCCATTGCTGTCAGTCATAGCAATATGCAAATATTAATATAGCAATAAAAAATCAATAATTCAATAATTTTTACCAACATCCATGATTGCAATATAAAACAATTTAGAATTACATGCTCTTGACAGCTTTTAAAAATATTACTGTAATACTTTTTGATCTTCTTTATGAGAATTTCTAACCTTGCTAACTTTTATTGATTCCTTCTTGGTATTTCATTTATTACTACGAAATGCTTCATTATAAATTATCGAATACTAAAATCTGATCATAAGACCTACTAATAGTTATCATATATGCTAATATTAGAATTTGAATTTGACTAAATTAAAATCCTAAAATTTGAATTTAACTAAATTTAATTCAAAAATGAATTATTCATTACCGACAATTTCAGAACATTTTGCTGTATAATTTATTCAATGAATGCACGAAGAAAGAAACTATTTATTTAACAATGCTTAAATAAATATCGTCGAAAAGATAAAATTTGCATAAATCCATTCCATTTTATGCTATGCATTTCTTTATTGTATGAAATAAATTTTGCGAAATTTCAAAAATTCAATTTTTTCAATTTTATACCAAACAGATTTTTGTTTTTAATTTTGATATAAATAATCATTGGAATTGATTAAAAATCACTTAATTACATTTTTATTTTTCAATTAATTTAAAACAATAACTTATTAATAAACGATTAGAGTGAAATTTACACAATTTGAAAGATTCCGTTTTTAATTTTAAAATAGAATTTCTGAAATATTTTTGAAAGCAAAAAAAAATTTTAAATCTTAGAGAATATTTTGTAAAATAAAAATTTGAGCGAAGCAAACTGACAGAAATTATTCATTTGTGAGAAGCTTATGGAAGATAAAATGGATTATTTTTGGGACATCAAAATTGCTAACTTTCTTTTTGCATGCATGCATGCATGCATGCATAAATAAATGAATGGATTATAGGGAAATATATGCATGCCGATCCTTTTTTTAACAAAAATTTAGCAAAAAGTTTTAAATTTTGAAAAATTTCTTTTTAAATTTTAAAATATTAATTTTGGTAAATCACAATATATTTGAATTGTTTGAAGTAAAATAGAAAAATTCTTTGTTTTCTTACTTTATTATTCTGCCATTAATTTCAATTAAAATTTTATCTTCAAAATTTAGTGTGATTGATTGGAATCATTCAAGAAATAAAATTTCATTTCAGTCGATCCTTCTGATTCCTCAGGCGTTTCATTCGATCGCTATCGGTAAGTCATTTGATGCATTTATTATTTTCTAATTTTATTTACCTAAATTTAGTCAGTAAATATTTTCTTTTTCATTAATTAAATATTGATAAAATTCCTGAATTTAATAAAAGGAAAATTTATTCAATTTTTAAGAAATAATTTTTTATCGCTAAAAAATTAACAAATAATTTAAAATTTCATTTAATATAATTTGAGTAAAACGAAATTAAAATGGCAAAGTTTGAAATAATCAATTATTACAAAATATCATTTGAAATCTTATCAATTATCCATCATTGTAGTAATTAGTAGTTTTTTTGTTTTTAATATTTACCTGTTGACAACAATTTTTATTGTATGATGAGTGTTAAGAGATTTCGTTCTAATCATTCTTATCAATAATTAATACACCCTATCCATTTAGGGTCAATTTAGGATTCAACACTTTTCATAAATAATTTTTAATGGAACTATTATGTCATTACATTTTTCAACAGAAATAATTTATCTCTTCTTCTTCTTATACTCAAAGAAATCAACAAATTAACGAACTTCGAATATTTCCATTCTTTAAGGAATAATAATAAATTCGTATTGGCTAAATTTTATTTCAATAATTTCCCATGTGAAAATATAACAAAAGAAATTTAAGCTTAACTCAAAAAAATCTTATTAAAATTTTAACAGATAAAAATTTAGGAAAGCTGGCAAAAACTTAATGTATGAGAAAAAAAGGTGTATGAAATAAATTTTGATTAAATTTCAAAAATGATTTTTATTCATATCTCAACTAAAATAATCATATCGATCACAATTAAACAAATATACAAATTATTTCATAATTTTCTATAATCATATTTTTTACGAATTTTATTTGTATCTAAGCAATAATAAATTATTTAATTGAGATATGCTTAAAGTTCACACAAAAATCGATTTACTTAAAGTTCACACAAAAAAAATTTTAATTTATAGTTTACTACAAATTATTCATTTAATTAAAATTCAACACTACTTTTTAAAAAAGAAGAAATTCTCATTCACTTATCAAAATTAAGGATGGAAAAGAAAAATTTTAAACGGAAAAAATAAATTACAACAATCAATTTTAGCAATGAATAAAATCTGTTAAGCAATATATTGACATATGTTTCAATCTGTTACTTACTAAAATCATTTCAATTCTTTCTCCTAAAATAAATTTCAATTCTTTCTCCTAAGATCATTCCAATTCTTTCTCCTAAAATAAATTTCAATTATTTCTCCTAAAATCATTTCAATTATTCCTCCCAAAATCAATTTCAATCCTTTCTCCTAAAATTATTCCAAAAAAATTTTCTCCTCCTCCTCCTTTTCATTTTAATAATTCAACAATTAACCAACCACAAAATAACGAAAAGAAAAGAAGATCGACGAATTATTTCCCAATGGTATATAAAACTTGCTAAAAAGTGATGAATGATTTTTTGTTTTTTGCATCTTCCAACAATATCAGAGATAATTTAAAAATGCCTGAAATAGTCGATTTTGTCTGATTTCATCCTTCAACATTTTCAAATTGTATTTTGTGAAGAAAAATTGAGGAAGAATTTTTTTTGTTCTATCATTTATTTTTTGATATTTATTATCAGAGTACTTGATATTTTCATGCCTCTTCTTCTTTTCTTCTTTTTTTTCCTTAAAAATTTTGGCATTTGTTGAATTTATCAGCTTATCAATGATAAAAGATGTGATCGAAAATATTTATCAATTTTTTATAATTATTTAGTTCATATATATATATATGCAATATTTATATCTGTATAGTATATTTTCTGAAATATTCAAAACGGATCTTATTTGATATTTCATTTCCCATGAGAGATTTACATATAAAAGTCAATTTTAACTTAAAATTGTTGTTGTTTTCGATTTTTGACGAAATTGTTATACTTTTTAAATATTTGATATTTTAACGGATAAAAGTAAAATAATGTAATAATTTCAGCCTTTGCATACGTTTTTATAAATGCTATTCAAAATATATTTCAATTAGTTTAATTTCAAAATTTAATAATTAATTTATATTTTATTAATTAGATATTTGTGTGTGTGTAAATTTCTTTAATTATTAAAATTGAAAAAATTTTTTTTGCTTTTTTAAATATTAAAACAAAATATAATATTTTCAGATGAAATTATTTAATCAATTTCTTTCATCTTTTATATTTTTTTGTTTTGAAAATATGAATTTTAGCTGGCAAGTTTTGAAACATACTGAAATGAAACGGATAATTAGGAATTAATATCAAACGGATAATTAGAAATAATATCAAACTAATAATTAAAATTAATATCAAACTGATAGTTAGAATTAATATCAAACTGATAATTAGAATTGATATCAAAATGATAATTAGAATTGATATCAAAGTGATAATTAGAATTGAACAAAATTGCTAAATCTTGTTATCTCTCATTAAAAATGTTAACATTATAAAATTGAATCATATTATTATCATTTCATTAAAATTTGCACAATTTGCTCGTAATACGTTAATTACTCGCTTTTCCTTGATCAATTTTTTACCCCAGATTTACCAAGATATCTCAGATATTCCTGACAAATTATAAATCTCATAGAACAGAATGAGATGAATTCTTCAGAATGGAAATCTTTAATTACAATCTTTTAAAACAAATGATAATTTTGTTAATAAAATCATATATATATATATATAATTTCATGCATATAAATATGAAATAATTGAAATAATATCAATTTCATAGAGCAATAAAATATTTTGAAATTATATATTATATTTGAATTAAAAATAATTTTAATTTAATCGAAATAGATTAAATTTTATTTTAATAAATTTCAAATTATTTGTTTATTTCAATATATAAATTATTTAAAAAATAACAATTATAATGTTAAATATTTATTGTTTAATTATTAATTATAAATTATTCCAATCATATAGTAATGGTTAAATTATATATGTTCGATAGTTTGCTACTACTACTACCACTAATACTATTATTCTATAAATATAATATTGTTGTTCAATTATAATCCATGGCATTAA